GCTGGCCAAGTTGTGAAATCCATCTCAAAGGGACCAGGTAAGGGTACAAATGGAGTTGCTAAGCATGTGGCTTATGGGACTATTTCTAAACAATCAAATGTTAAAACTGCCCCTCTTCTAGCTTCTGTCGTCAAGTCTTTTCGGCTGGCTCGGAGAGGGACTGTGATTGATTCCACAGCGATTTCAAACAGATTTGGGGCTCTAGAGGATTTGGGTGGGGAGGAGACCCAAGGAGGTACAAGTGTGTCTATAGACAAGGAACCTGTCTTGAGTACATTGAATGCAGAAACAAGGGACCAAGGGGAGGAGGTTCAAAATACCCCATCATGTTAAAGTTCGCTTCTTGGAATATTCGGGGACTCAATTCCCCGGTCAAGCAAAAGGAGGTGAGAAATTTAATCTATTGCAATGATTTAAGTTTGTGTGCAATAATAGAGTCACATGTTTCCAAGGATTCCCTAGAGAATGTCTGCTCTCGTACTTTTGGTCGTTGGTCTTGGATCTCAAACCAGATGGCATGTGACACCGGGACCCATCTAACTCTTGCTTGGGATTTACGGGTTCTAGATGTCATGATTCTTGAGGTCCATGAGCAATTCTTGAATTGTGAATTATAATTCAGGGGAGGCCAAGACCCTATCTTCTTTTCTGCAATAATAGCAATAAAAGGAGGGAGTTATGGTCAGGTCTTTGGAAGTTCAAAGTCTTGACAGGATCTAAACCTTGGACTGTTATAGGTGACTTCAATGCCATGTTGTTTCCTCATTACGATTTCGGGGGGTCCTCTCGTCGAAATGCTGATATGTCGAATTTCTTTGCTTGTATGGAGGATGTGGAAATTTTTGACTTACATTACACGGTATCCACTTCTCTTGGAACCAAAAGCCAAATGAAGAAGGGGGAATCAAGTGCAAACTGGATAGGGTTCTGGCTAATTCGCCAATATTCATTTCTTACCTTCTGGGCTATCGGATCACTCTCCGGCAGTTTTATCCTTCAAAGGAGGAACGCGGAAAAAGAGTTGGGGCTTTAAATTTGATAATTTCTTCGTGGAGCACCCGTCTTTCTTGCAGGTTGTGAAGGATGAATGGTCAAAGCATGTAGAGGGGACCTTCATGTTTCGGGTGACAAGTCACTTGAAAGACCTCAAGACCCCTCTACGAAAGCTCCGTAATTCCTATGGCAATATTGCGGTTCGGGTTTCTTTCTTGAAAACAGAGCTAGATTAGATTCAGTTGACGGTGGACAATGACCCTTCTAATGTGGATTTGGGCCTTGATCTTGGTCACCTTCATCTTGCTTATCAAAAAGCTTGCTGTGATGAGGAATGTGCCGCCAAACATAGAGCTAAAGTTAAATGGTTGAATGAGGGTGATATGAACACTAAATACTTCCATAGTGTGATTAAATAAAGGCATCATTCTAACTTCATCCAATCTGTTTGCACTAGCCAGGGAGACTATGTTTGTGGGGATGATGTCACCTAATGTTTTTGTGGATTACTTTAAAGGGTTTGTTGGTGAGCGGGATGTTTTAATTGATCCGGTTATGCCGGATGATCATTTTTCTCAGAAACTTTCGTTAACTGAAGCTAACCATATGATCCGACCTATTTCTAATGAGGAGATCAAAGCTACTATGTTTAGTATTGGTAACAATAAAGCCCCAGGATTGGATGGTTACTTCTCTCGTTTCTTCAAAGCTTCTTGGGATATTATCGAACGTGATGTGGAGAATGCTATTCATAATTTCTTCTATCGAGGTAACATTTTGAAAGAATTGAACCACACCCCCATTTGTCTTATCCCTAAATCTGTTAATGCATCTAAGGTTTCGGATTACCGACCTATAGCTTGCTGCACGGTGCTTTATAAATGTATTAGTAAAGTCATCATTAACAGAATGAAGGGTCATTTGAATTCTTTAATTGATGGTGCCTAATCGGCTTTTATTCTGGGTCGGAGGATTACGGATAATATTCTTATGGCTCATGAACTGGTGTCAGGTTACCAAACGAGGGAAGGGCCTCTGAGGTGCTTGTTTAAAATTGACATCAAGAAGGCTTACGATACGGTGGACTAGCAATTTCTTCTTAATATGCTTCAGGGAATAGGGTTCCACCCGGTTTTGGTCAAATGGATAAAGGAGATGGTTTCTACTACTTCTTATTCGCTTGCGATTAATGGTAATACGTATGGGTTTTTTCATGGGGGAAGGGGGCTAAGGCAAGGGGATCCGTCATCCGCTTATCTCTTTATGATCGTTATGGAGGGGTTCTCTATGCTCCTCAAGCAATGCATTCAGGAAGCTGCTGATTTTGGGTATCACAGAGTTTGCGAAGACTTGGATTTGACGCACTTATGCTTTGCCGATGACCTTTTTGTGTTCACGAAGGATGATATTTAGTCGGTTGAGGTTCTTAAAAAGGCACTTCATCTTTTCAAGAAATCGCTCGGGGTTATGGCCAAGCCTTGAAAAAAGTGAGATTTTCTTTGGGAATGTTCCTCCTAATATTAAGGAGGCCATTCTTGAGTGTCTCCCTTTCAATCTTGGTTCTTTTCCATTTCGGTACTTGGAAGTTCCATTATCCCATACCCATTTGAAATCAGGTGATTATGGCCCTTTGGTTGCTAAGATAAAGGGTCACATTATCAATTGGAAGTCTAAATTCCTTCCTTTTGGAGGGAGAAGACAACTTATTGTTTTGGTCCTTCAATCTTTACAGCTTCATTGGATGTCTGTGTTCTTGTTTCCTTCTAGGATTATCCATGATATTGAAGCTCTCTTCTGGAAATTCCTTTGGGCTACAAGGGAGGATCATAAAGGCAGGTGCAGGATATCTTGGGCAGTGGTGTGTTGGCCTCTTTGCGAGTGGTGGACTTGGTCTTCGGTGTTTGGCAACCTGGAATAGGACGTTACTGGATAAACACATCTAGGATATTGTGAGGCACCGTAACTAGTTGTGGGTAAGATGGGTGTACCGGAATAATCTTAGATCTTCGCACTTCTAGATCGTTCGGAAAAACTCCAATTGGTCGTGGATTTTACGCAAGCTGTTGAATTTACGACCCCAATTGCAATGATTTCTGATCTCCCAGATTGGTGATGGACCGGATTCAAATTCTTGGGAGGATATTTGGCTCACATGTGGTCATCTTTCTTCCTTCGTCTCCTACAGATTCATTCCTTCGTCTCCTACAGATTCATTCATTCTTGTGGGTTTTCGACTGACACTACGGTTTGGGAGTTAATTCCTAAGTCTGGATGGGGAGTGGTCGACTGATTGGTGTCTCAGGTATGATGTGCTTACTACTACTTCTCCATTGTCATTCTTGAATGAATTTGTTCGTGATAGAGTTTTATGGGTGGATAATCACAACTCTGGTGTGGATTTCACAGTTAGTATTGCTTGGTCTTCTCTGGAGGGGACCCATCCGGTTGTACCCTGGTATAAATCGGTTTGGTTTTCAGGCCATATTCCCAAACATGTTTTCTGTCTTTGGCTTGCTTGTCATCGCTGCCTTCCTACCCAAGACCATATGCTTTGGAAAGATGAACCTCCGGATTTGGAATGCTCGCTCTGTAACACTTGCATGGATAGCCATTCCCACCTATTTTTTCAGTGTTCTTTTTCAAGAGAGGCTTGGGATAGCATTTTACAAGTAGTGGATTTGATGAATATGCCAGACTCGTGGGACCAAATCATGGAAGTTATTTCGGACATGAAGAGATCGCCAAAACGGTTAATGCAAAATATAGCGCTTGCGGCTTCAGTTTACTACATATGGCAAGAGCGGAATAGAAGACTCTTTACTGAGAATCGCCGCACGGCTGTGCAACTTGTAAAGGAAATTAGGAGCAAAATTTAGCAAACTTTCCATTCGTTTGGAAGGAGAGTAGGGTTGAGTGGAGTGGTGGTTTAAATGAAGGGTGAGGTTTTGGTTTGGGGGGCTTTTTGGCGGTTTAAGCTCCTTTTGTTTATTTTTTATAGCATGTTTGTGTCTGTTGGGCTTTGTACTTTTTGGCTCTTTGTGGCTTGGTATGGTGTGGTGACCAAGTCTTTTGCGTTTCAGTCCGGTCGGGTGTGGTTTTATACCTAATCTATGTACTCTTTTTTATTGGTTTATAAAATTTGTCTGGTTTACTTCCAAAAAAAAAAGACCCATTCTTTCTCAATTACTCTCATTAACGTATGATTTGATTAATTATGACCCATTTAGTATCATTATAACTCAATTAGACTCAAATAGAACAATTATCCCATTATACCCATTAAGGTCTGATCAAACTAGATATGACCCAATTAGTCATTTCGAGTCAATTAGACTCCTTATGGAAAAATGGCCCTATTAAACCCATTAGGGTCTAATTAGATTAATGATGATCCATTTAGTGTCATTTTGACCCAAATGACTCGATTAAAAGAAATAGGCTCATATACACTAAGATCACATGGGCCTATTTAGGACCCTTAAGACCCATTCTGCCTCGATTACTCACATTACCATCATGTTTGACTAATTATGACTCATTTAATATCATCTTGTCCCAATTAGAATCCTTTTGAAGAAATGGTCCAATTAAATCCCATTAGGGTCTAATGAAACAAATTATGATTTTAGAACCTGCTAGACAAATATTTACTTTCCACATAAAAATTTCCTTCCTAACCATCAACAAGATGATTGATACATATTTCCTTGTTAAAAATTTCCTTATTTGCCAACAACTTTAACCGGTAAACATTTTGTAAACAGTCCCTTAAGTCTTTACAAAAGTATAAAACAATGTCATTAATGTAACACTCATAATCCAAAACTAGACTGACCAAATAACCACTAAATCAACATAAAATCATGATGGAAGTTATCCACAACATAGAGCTTATAAGGAGTTCATAAGTCTAATTTTCTATCCATATAAAATAGGTTGTTACGATTAATATTTTTGTGAAACTCAATTTAAAGTGAGTTTGAAGTGATGGTGTTGCTGGTCTAAAATCTTGAATTCTCATTGCCAGTTGGTTCAAAAAAGACTCCATAAGTTACCAATTCCATGTCCATACCAACAAACCTTACACAACATTTTACCTGTACACAAATCATTACATACCTACCAATTCCTCAATCCCTGCTGCACCTAATGCCTAACACTATGATCATCCGATATAGTTTCCTCCGAAGATGCATCGCTGTTGATAACGATCACGTCCTCTGGTTTACTAAGAGGACGGTACTCGTGGGGTCCACTGAGTTCCGGTGTACCCTTCCTTCGAGCCAATAGAGGGTCATGGGAATGGGTTGCAACAGATGGCCGTAAATTCACAATTCCCATGGTTCTATTGGAGCCGGAAAAGGGTTGGTTAATCCACTGCATCATTCCTGAATGACCTGTGTATGAAACAGCCGAAGGCATGGCAGCCTGCTCGAAAGGTCCTGAGGATGGGAAGCTAACCGCTTCTTGAAGCCAATGGGGTAAACTCCCCCGACTGGGCCCAGTAGGACCGTTGACCAACAACGACTCCAAGGTTGACCTTCCTCTTTTTTCATAATAGTTTAGATTAAGCGAACTCTGTTTCTGATCGATCCCATTGTTCTGGAAGTTGGATGGTCCAAGGGAGAGTTGCGGTTCTTCAACAAGAATAGGGCTGTAATTCTTGGGAAGTGTGGGTCGAAATCTCTTTGTTTGAGAAGAGGGTTTGGGACTTAAAAGCTTCAACTGTTCTTCCTCCCACCGCTCAGCCAACTCCTGTGGGGACCGCCAGGATGCAAAGTGCAGCCGGTGATCCCTTAGCATGGCCTCCCAATTGCCGATTCTGTGTCTCCTCACACCAATCCAAAGAAAGTCGAGTTCTTCCTCGGACCACATGCTTGGAGGCTCAAAATTGTTGGAAAAACTACTTCGCTTACAGCTAACAGCCCTTGCTTTACTTATAATGTTGTCAAGAATCAACTTGTGTCTCATTAGGGATACTGAGTCAGACGGGTACTGGGCCGCGGTCACATCTTGAATTGATTCTCCGATTTTGGTGTCAAAGTTGGGCCAAGGAGATAAAGAGGTACTGGCACTGTTTCTAGCTTCGGTTGTCAGAGACAAACCGAAAGAAGGTGTAGAACTAGCCGAGCTGCGAAAGTGCAGATGTCTCCCGTTTGATGGTCTATCTTCACGATTCATCAAAGATGATTCTTGCAACGGGTTAAACGGGTTTTTTAGAGGCAACATATCGTTCTCTGTGTCTTCTGGAAAAAGCTGCAATAATTCATAGCCATAAAAAATGAATTTGGACCAACTTTATACACGACGATGAAGGTAAGGGATTACGTACTCTCTGTCCCAAAAACAACGCAACGAGTACTTTTCTAGTAATATTTTATCCAAATTGAACTTTTTACCATCGGCAATCGTTACAAGATATCAGCAACATTAATTTTATCCAGGAATTATTGTCTTAATAAAAGCTTTTAGGTTTTTGATTATTCGGCTATGTTTGGCAAACTAGATGATAAGCTAGTTGTTGCCTGAATAACTAGTCGTGTTTGGTAACAACTAGCTCATAAGTTGGATGGCAATGTAACATGACCTAAAAGAAAACTATAAGGGAGCTTTTAAGTAAAATATAAGAAGCATAATTGGGAAAAAAATGAAAAAGAAAACCCAATAAGCTATAAGAAGTGGTTTTTCAAGAAACTAGTTTATGGCTTACCAAATGGATCTTTTTCAATAAGCTCAAAAAAAAAAGATAGCTTATGGTTGCCAAACATAGCCTTAGTCAAAAGACATTTGTTAAACTATCTGTCAAGTCAAATAGTTACATTCTTTTGGGACAATGGGAGCAATAACTAAGCTGATCAATCAGGTGATCATGTTCAAATGCCATGTACCTGCAAGAAGTTCTTTTTTGAAGTTTGACTTTGACTTATGGAAACCGAAGGTAAGTCAACACCCCCAATGTGGCTGCTGCTAGAGAGTTTCAGAGGAACACAATGCACCTGAGAATATGTGGTCTCCCCAATTCTCTCGTCAAGCAACTCCAGAACCCTGCCGCAAGAAGGAAACTCATGCAAAACTACAGAATGGCTTCTGCTAGTAGAGTCAGTTGAATCTCGATGGGTTTCTGATGCATTATTGTCGGGTTGTACATTAGAGCTTGATTCCAATGTTAAGTTGCAGTCCACCAAACTGCTTGATTCTGACAGATCACAAATAGAATTGGTGGGAACTAATGTTGCTTCTAGAGGATAAAATGAAACCTACTTTCTCATTTTGTTTTATAAAGTTTCAAGAAAAGAACATATTTACTCCCTATGTTCCAGAAACGAGGTACACTTTGACTTTGAGGTTAAACCAATTACTTCTCGAATTCAAATGTATCGATGCGGAACAAATGCAATGACGTCTTCTAAAAGTAGCATTTATTATAAAAGCCAACGTGATCATCTACATCTTTGCAATCGAAAAGATTTAATGGGGTTGTCAAGTTTGGAGATTCTGGGGTTGTTTGCTAAACACTTTCTGCCTCTTACCGGTTATTCTAATATTTCCTCTTACCGGTAAGACAAACTTACCAGGTAAGATATGATGGTCTTTACCAACAATCTTACCCATGCCATTTTCTAACCGAGAATCTTCCTTGGTAAGTGAGGGTGGTGATTTTTACCCGGTTGGGGCTTACCGGGTATGAGACGCTTATACTATGCTATTTTGATGACCGAGAATCTTACCCGGTAAAGTAAGCGCTTACCTAGTTTATGTTGGTAAACGGCTCCTCAGTCTATTTTGACCACAATTCAGTCGTACCTCTTTTTTTGGTCGGATTCTTAGCTTATACCATGTCTTTGTTAAATGTATAGTTCAAGCAAAACCACTAACCAGGTGGAGGCTTTGATAAATCAAAAGAAGCTAGTGAGCCTCCTTCGCCAGTGATAATTTTGGCACTTTCTAGACCATCGCTTGATATGATCAGTGATTCATCTGCTGCAGAAACATGACACGCTGATGCCTCGGGTTGTTTATCTTTAACATCAGATATTGCATCCATTGTTGACTTCCCTGAATAAGCAGCAAAACCTCCATAAAGTCCTCTGCATTATTAGTACAAGACACAGAATTGAAAATTCTTACTTGATGCTGGTTCAGTTACATGTGGGGCGTCCTCCAAAATGCATCTCTTAGTGATCAACATTTCACCAGCTAGTGTCTCACTGCTAAAGTCAGCTAAAAGGAGGAATGAGAACATAAAGTGACATAGATAGCATCTAAAAAAAGAGGAACATTCAGGTAAACGTAAACATACATCTCAAGTTTAGGAACAGAAAGTGAATGGACATCACAAAGATCAACTTCTTCACTGATCTTCTGTCATAAAAAGTAAATACAATCATTAGTTATCCTCCTCTTAAAACAGTTTGGATGAAAGGAAGAATAAAGGCAGAACCTCAACAACTCAAGTACCAAAAAATGCAACAGATTCACAGTGACTATTCTCTGATACTCCCTCCAGCCCGAAAAAAAATGCAAGTTTTTTGACTTGGCACACAGTTTAATAAAATGTTCGACTACTGGTCTAATGCCTAAACTGGCCCTTAATAAGGACAAGTTATAGGAAACTTGTGGACCAAAATTAAAGTAATGCTTATTAACGAACAAAACGAAGAACTTGAATTCAAAACATACCAAAAGAAAAGGTAACTTCGGGACAACCATAAAAGGAAAATTTTGCATTCCTTTTTGGAACATAGGAAGTATCATTGCCCGCGAAACAGTCAAAATCAAGAAAGAAAAAAAAAAGGATTATCATTCTGATAAAGAAACAGCATATGAGTTCTGTCATTAGAAATTCTAACATGCCCACATAGCTCCAATGATGATACAAAATCACATAAGATGGGAAAGCACAATTGAAGTAATAGGAAAAGACACATCTTGAACCAGTTGAAAATTTTCTTCCAGTCTAATGGTCTTCAATCTGCTCTTTTATAATGATTTCTGTGTCCAATTTATTGGATATCCTTTTCCTTCCTTTGGTTTTATTTTATTGTGACTTAATTTACTTAAATCTGTGGATGTAAGAATTAATAACCAGTTAAATAGGAAGCAGAGCAGAAATATCTTAGCTTTTGGATCACAAACTGAGAGTTCGAATATTCGTCAAGAGAGGATAGTAGACACAATATTGACAACAAAAGCTATGAACTTCTTTCTCCGGAAAAAGTAGAAGTTTAATTGATATGGATCTCATTCTTATTATACACTTGGAGGGAGGAAAGATATCTCCACAAAGAGACAATGATACTGCAACTGCAACTTGAAAGTTGAAATACCAAGCCCATGAAAACTTGACAAATTTTGAATACAAACGAAGCACAAACTTGATTGCCCACCCCGATTGAGATGGCAAATGAAACATGAGCCAACTTGAAGACAGCACAGAAACTAAAATTGAAACTTGAAACTACTACTGGAATTGAAATCTTGAAACTTGAACACGGTTTGGTAACACAAATTAATAATTGGTTGCAAGTGTTGGCAGACACGGCAATCTAGATGACGTATCCATAATATTCTTATAGTTCAAATGCATATGGTACAGTGGAAGAGTAGTTGTAAAAGCAATAGTAGGATTAGATGCAAGAATACCCACAATTGAGGATGAATTAGCAGAAAGTCGTTTGAGATGGTTTGCTGTATACAAGATAAGCTTCTCTGCATTAGTACTGAAAATGCACTTGTACCAAGAGAAGAGCGAAGATCACTTGGCTGCGGAAAGAAAATGGATGGGTTTGGTTATGATCTATGCTATTACAGCGGTCAAATCTAAAATTGCGGTCAGGACCGTGATTTGATATAGCAGTTATCGTGATGGTAAAGTGGTCCAAAATTAGCGGCTAATAATTAGAATTATATGTGTGTGTGTGTATATACTGTTGGATTCCCATGAGAAATGCCATTTTCCGTGAGAAGTATGAGAAATGTGACCTTCATATAATATATATGAAAGTACCCTTATATTGTGTGAAGGTGTGTGAAGGTGACGACCTTTGCGGAAATTGGTAAGCATCTAAAACATATGGTACTACAAGACTATTTCACCTCATTTTCATCTTCTTTGTATTCTCTAAAACCGTATTTAAGGTATTTCCACTTTTCTTGTTTTGGAGCTTTAAATATGTAAAGATTATGTTTTTACTCATTTTGGTACTGACTTTTTAGAGTTTATCTAAAGACAGTGTATTGTAGCTTGGTTTTTGGATGATGTACCTTGATTAGCACCTCAAACAAAAATATTGGAACATTCTGGAAGATCTTTTAAGATTAGATTAATACTTGACATTGGCGGCTATAATACACATTTTGTGGTGAATATTTTATTAAGACAACTAAGCTTGTACTATGCAAATCCTTAGAAAATCTAGTGCACTTTTGGTGGGACCCTTTGTATAACCTTCCTAGCACTATAGAAGGAGAGGTTGTGTGTTATTTTAGGGCATTCCGGTTCCATCCTTCTACCCATCTTTGGGTAGAACACATCAATAGTAGTTTCTTTAGTTTGTCTTAGTTCTTTCCATTGATGCATTAAGCTTTTAAAGTCATTTCCTTTGAGCATTTACATTTCCATTTATTTACTTTTCTTGCAATTTACATTATCGTCAACGTTGTGCATTTCTAATATGCTTTCATTTTCAACCATGCTAGGTTAAAACCATAGCATGGGTGTGGGGTGATGTTAAGGCTAAAACCACAGCATGGATGTGGGGTGATGTTAAGGCTAAAACCAAAGTGACCGGGGAAGTTGTTTCTCAATCACAATATGTTTCCAACCATTCATTCAAGATCATATTGTCAAAAGATTCCATAGACAAGCTTGTCCAAGTGTTAACGTGGGTTGGACTTAGGAATAAACCAACATGCCACATCAACTTGAATGATACAGTGGTATGCATGGAAAAGCTACTTAGAATAAAGGCAACTTGTTCATTTGTCTCGACTTAAACCCGAACATAGAAATATGAGAGTTGATATAGGGATAAGTGTTGCCCCAACCTCGAAAGAGTGCCTTAAAAGATGAGGATGGATGAGTTATTACAGCAGTTGATGCTATAGCCTTATTTTGGTGCAACAAAATGAGGCTATAACCTTATTTCCGGCAGGTCTTTGGTTCAAAGTCTTAACTAATCCTCACACTCTTGCTACTTTAGTTACTTGCACACAAGTAGTCTGATCACAATCCACAAATATTTTCTCGAATTCACCATCTGAAGTTACTGTTTGGTTTGACTTCAAATATCTTTGACTTCCTTTTGCTATGGATCGGTACTTGGTATTTTACCATTTTATTACTTGTATAAAGATGACAAAGGATTAAAGTGCATGCTTGTATGGATATTTATCTGTTTTTGTCTTACTGATTTTTATAAATCTTGCAATAAGTTTTTGGCACTGTTGTAGGGGACACGCAAAGCTAAAGATTTTTTTTTTACTACTTAAACTAAAGAGTTCATATTTCTACCACTTTGTTACTTGTTGGTGTGGCGTATGCCGGTGAAAGTTTTCCATGTTTTTAACCACATGTTAGTATTATGGAGAACGTCATGTGTATCATTGTTTCTAGGGATAGAGGAATTATGGACTATATTATTCCTATTTTTTGTCGATTAAATTCAGGGATACTAAGGCCACAAATTGAGACAACTCACTTTGAGCTCAACCCTATTATGTTGCAGACCAATGGCCAAATCAGTGGTTTGATATCTGAAGACCCTCATTCACACTTCAAATATTTTATAGAAATAACTTATTCTTTTCTCATCCCTAGAGTGTTTGATGAAGCTGTAAGGCTCAACTCTGTGCAACCAAATTCCATCATCTCGTGGAATGGTCTTGTAGAGAAACTTTTGAAAAAGTGTTTTCCTCCCACCAGGAATGCTATGTCCAGAAATGAGATATGTTTCTTTAAGTAATTGGACAATGAAGCATTACCTGATGCATGGGAAAGGTACAAAGAGTTGTTGAGAAAATGACCTCATCATAGCATTCCATACAACATTCAGTTAGACATTTTATAATGGTTTAGCTACCATCGCTAAGCAAGTACTCGATGCTACAGTAGGGGTAGATTTCCCAGCTTGTACCAATAATGATGGGTATGACATACTTGAGAAGATCTCAACTAACAACGGATAACGGCAATCCCACATACATTAATATAGAAACAAATACCAGGGTGGGTTACATGAAACAGATGCATATTCTACACTTTCAACACATGAATCTAGAAACTTTTTCTTGCATCGTCTATCCGGTCTCGTACCAAAACTGAGAACATTCCAGACTATGGCTAACATGATTAACATCATGAATGTGTGATGTTGCTACAAACATCAAATCCTACTGTTCATAGTGTAGCATTTTTGCTATGTGGGGAAAGCCATCCATATGAGTAATGTGCATCTAATCTAGAATCACTGAATTCTTTTGAGGTACTTATTCTCAAACTTTGTGCATCTAATCTAGAATCACTAAATTCTTTTGAGGTACTTATTCTCAAACTTATTATGTAGGGTGGATGCAACACCCATCTTTTTCATGGAATAGTCCAACCTTGAGCTAACAGGTTAGTAAACCACAAGGATGCCAAGTTCCTAATAGCAATATCAAAGTGGTTCTCACAACCATCAGCCAAATTTTCACCAACACCATTCAGATCATCCAATTTTTCAAAGTAACCAAACCCAACAATCACTAGACTCAACCACATCATTGGAAGCAATGATGAAGAACTTTATCCATCAAAATCAAGTTGTTACGAGTCGCACACAAGCAGCCTTTAGAAACTTTGAAACCCAAATTGGCAGTTAGCTCATGTGGTAAGAAACATGCCTAGTGGAACCTTGCCTAGCGACACTATAACACTCAGAAGCACAATAAACAACATGTTAAGATAGTAACTTTAAGGAGTGGAAAGGACTAGGTAGTTAATAGTCCTTTGACAAATCATATGATTCCATTTGAAGCCCAACCCAAAAATGAGGCTATAGCACCCTCCCCGGATGCTATTTGCCTACCCAACCTATAGAAGGAGATGTTAACACCACTTATGCCATATCTAATATCTATTATTTCCACTGTGTGTCATTTCAGAACGATGCTACTTGTTTACCTAGTTCTGAAAATGAGGCTATAGCACCAGTCAATCCGTTGGTCAAGAATTCTAAGACCAATCCTCAAGCATCAAACTCCTAAGAGAGAGGTTGTAACTCGTGTTCTAAATTGTCCAGCCTATGTACCCTCCCATCAAACGCAGAAGAATCAAAAGATGGATTGCCATTCAAAAAGTTCCTTAATGTTTTCAAATATTTGCATACTAATATTCCTTTGGTAGAAGTTATAGAGCAAATATCAAGTTATGAAAAATTCGTTAAGGACATTTTGAGTAAGAAGAAAAAGTAGAGTGAATACGAGAATGTTGCCTTGACTGAAGAATGTAGTGCCATCCTTTCTAACAAGATTCCCTCTAAGCTCAATATAAGAAGCTTCACCATTCCTTGTCCAATAGGTGGGAAAGAATAGGCAAAGCCCATTGTGACTTAGGTGAAAGCATCAACCTAATGCCATTGTCTATATTCAACACCTTAGGCTTAGGAGAGGCCAGGCCTACCAAAATCACCCATTAGTTACTAATACGTCCATAGCATATCTTAAAGGAAAGATTGCGGATTTGTTGGTATAAATAACTTGAGGATATTACAAAAGCAAAGTTATGATTCATACTTAAGTTCTATGTATTGATATTCAAGCATCACCGAATTCTATGCAAGAAAGTATCATGTTTTGTTTGATGATACGTTTAGTTACTAATAAATTATATATTTTTGGATTTCAAGTTAGCAACTACAAGGAAAGCATATGATCTTTTGAGCATGAAAAACATGACTTATGAGATACATAATTCACGGTTACATATACCTGATCGTGTTGCATAAGAATTACATCATTCACGAAAGAACGTTGGTTACGGGATTGTCATAACCAGGAATATGGTTCAATGAATTTGATGTTAATGAAAGAAACAAAGCAAACGAGAATAACGGTTGAAACAATCTGGGATTACTTGGATTCTTGGAATTCTTGGTAAGGGGTTGTATTTACATTCCCAAACCTTGACAAGAGGCTTGAAACTACTTACCGGCAAGCTAAACGCTCTAGTTGTTGGTTTTTTGGTTTGGTGCATACATATCATTCATGGCTTTCATCAAATGTGTAAACTAAGCATGATCATAGCGTGAGCTATTGTTTTATGACGCAATGTTGTAATCACCCGACAAATATATTTGCTTAAAAATGTATGTGTATCACAAGTAACAATCGAGATATATGAAGAGAATAGAGTACACAAGAGTGGTCACAAATTGGTATAGTTTTGACAACGATAGGAATCATGGTAGCATAGCGTGTGTATTAGTTTTTTTATGTGCTAGTTGTTGTCGTTATATTACAAGGTTGTTTCCATCTTATGAACAAGTTTCAATATAAGGGAACTTATGTTTTATCATTTCCACAAGTTTTTATTAAATTATTTTCTAGTACGTTTTATGACTATTTTGTAAAGAGAAGTGTGTAACACACCATTTGGGTCCCGGTCTCGAGCCTATAAATGGGGTGTTACACATTCCATCCTTCTTCTACCCATCTCTAGGGTAGAAAACATTAGAAGTAGTTGCTTTAGTTTGTCTTTCAAGTTTTTTCCGTTAATGCATTAAGATTTTAAAGTCATTTCCTTTCAGCATTTATATTTTGATTATTTACTTTTCGTGCAATTTACATTATTGTCAATGCCTTACATTTCTAAATGTTTCCATTTGCAGCCATTAAGAAACTAAAAGAGGAAGATGATCCTTTGATTGTTGAAGATGTGTCTTTAGATGATGAATGGATTGCAAACTCAAATGATGATGAAGACTACGATAATGTATCAATTGAAGTTGGCGATGCAATTGAGAATGAAAGCCACAGTTCGACATCAATGAAGAAGAAGAGTATTAAATTGGATTTGGTAGTGATTATGAATACAATGGTGGAGCTATGCAATTTGATCATGTTTCATGGAATTAGGACTTGTTGAATCAATGAATTTATGTTTTTTAAGACTTGTAAGTACTAATTTTATGACTTCTACAACTTTCATAGTTTAGTATGGGATTATGTTTTACATGTTATGAAATTTATGAATTTTATTTCTTTACAGCCTCAAGGCTTCACCTTGCATTTCTGTACTTTAAAACTTGCATGTGCTCAATGATTTTGAAAGCACAAATTCCCTATCGTGTTCTTTTACTTGATGCTCTATTACTCCTCAACTAGCCCTATGGTTGCATGTGTTACGTGCACTATGTTCACAAAACTAGGATATCTAGGCGTATCTTCGTTGGTTATCCTAGTTTTTCTCAAGGGGTGTAGTAGATGTAATGATCTTCCTCAGGAAGGATATCTTGTACCTATTATGCCACCCCCAAATTCATCCCATGGTATTCCTATTGATTTTGAAGTAAAAAAGAAACATGCACCACTAAACCTATGATATCTTCTTGCTCACCTTTTCTCTACCCATTTTGCCTTTGTTTTAGCTACGGCACGTCCCATAATTGTTAGGCCCTCGCACATCTAGATGGAGGCCGGCTATGCGGTATGCACAAGGAATATCTACTCTTGAGAATGATGGTACTTGAGAATTAGTTGATCCTCCCACCTGAAAGAATCAAGTTGGTTGCAAGTGGGTATAGATAGCCAAACTGAATCCTGACGGCACTCCACACAATTAATACACGATCACACAAAGGTATTTCTTGATGCCAAGGTTTTAAAGAACGAAAACGAGCCTCGAGGCGTTTTCCTATTAGGTACATGAGGCGTAAGCCTCGAAGCTGTCGAGGTGTAAGCCCCAAAAAACCAAGCAATAGATGCATAACCCTTAACAAAACAAACATACTTCCATATATGCACTAGTATGTGTAAGCATACTAGTGCATATATGTACACAGTTACACATGTAGGGTTGGGTTTCGATGAGAAAAAGAGTTAAGGTGAGAAGTGTAAGAAGGGATCTCCACCCTTAGATGCACATTAGGATGAAATGCACCGAGATGAGATGCAATGGATCAATCCCCGTATCAAGCGCGATTCACGGGTGGGTTTGTGATTAAAGGTGATCAAGGGTCCATATCCCTTCCTTACGCTTCTCACCTTAACTCTCCTCACACGATCCTTCGCCTACACATGTGACAGAATACATATATATATATATATATATACCTAAAAGATCGTATTCTTGCCATTCCTATTATCCAGTGCTAGAAGCTTCGCCTAGATATACATGAGGCCAACTGAAAAAAAACAGGTATATACATCAAATAAACTAGGATGAAACATAGGGTTCCCCTATTTATTTGATGAGAAATGCAAAACGATCGCTTATTCCAACTTGACATTTGTCGGCTAGTCTACTATATATATACAAATACATACATACATATATATATATATATGTTTGTCGTAAAAATACTTAAAAAGTTAATCCAAAATTAAAAAACAAAATAAACAAATACAAAAGTTATTAAATATAATATTATATATTAAATATATATACTAAAGGCAGAAAATTAATCAGAATATTAAAAACAACATAAACAAATACAAAGTTAATAAATATAATAATATATTACATATATAACAACGAGATGAAAACGCCTATTAAATAATACTAGTTGTGTACCCGCGCAATGCGGCGAGAGCCATGAATTTTAACGATTTTGAAGTTCCACTGGTTTTATAAGATAAGATTTAACAATGATATATGTTACACTTCGTCTTTACATATTAATACAATTTGAATAAATAAGAGTTATGGTTCCAATTACAGACTATCGATGAAAAAAATTGTATAACAGTTTAAAATCCAATATATTTAAATGACTCCACAAATGTGTTCGATTTACACCAAGAGCAAAGAACCAAGAAACTTGAGTTTAAAGATAAACACTCAAAACCAATAAAGAAAACTACAAATTTAACAGATCATAAGCCATGAAAAGACCAAAAAAGATGAGTTTTAGAATGAAATTTCAACTGTTTACCCTCTTTCTTGTGCAGAAACTCAGATTAAGGTTGAATTAATACATGTGTATATATATATATATATATATATTTCAAAAAAACACAAGAACATATTAATTCAGAACATATTATATAGTGCAATTTGGACAGGCTAACCACAAAATATATAGCATACATATATAAATAAATAACTATAAAATTATAAATCGTAAATATTTAAAAATATTTTTTCACAGTATATATAATATATAATAATATAATTAAGTCAAAAAACTATTCAATATTGGACTCATTTCGAAGGTATTAAAGAGATGATTATAATGGTGTAATTTGTTAAAATAAAAATGTATGTTTTAAACATGTTTTAATTGATATACGATTACGTATATTAATTCGATAAAGGTTTAAAATGAAACATTTAAAAGTAAAGAACGTAAAGTAAATTAATTAACTAATTATAGGGGTACAAAGTGTAAATTTAAAATTATAATTTTAAAAAGATCGGTTGTGAGAGGGTGAGTGTATGTGAGGGGGTGAGTGCATATGAGGAGAGAAGGGGGTGAAAAAGTGTATAAAGGGTATCTTGGTCATTTAGTATTTTAAGACTTTAAGACTTTTGCTAAATTTGTTTTATAAGTTAGTATAGATATACATATATATATATATATATGCATACATATTTTAAAAACCCAAGGCATTGCTATGTGAGAAATCATGAAGGGACTGTGAGGAAAGTGAAGACGATGGAGAGAATGAGTGACGGAGGCAGAACTGGAGAAGAATTGATATCATATGCGAGAGAGAGAGAGAGAGAGAGAGAAGATCGATGGTAGTTTAGAGAGAGAGGGAAATGACCGGTCGGTTTAAAACACATACGCGTTTCAGCCGCCTTCTAAGCCTCAATTGTCGCCTGACGCCCGTCTCACTCAACCAAGGCGTACGTCTCAATTAAGTATTGAGAGGGGACGCCTCAAACTTGTTTCTGGATCGCCTCGTCTCAAGGCGTATGCCTCTTCCGTTTTTTAAAACCATGCTCAATGACACAGAAGTACGTCCTCGACATCTTGAAAAGGTCAATATGCTAACTCCCCTATAGGCCCTAATATTAAGCTTCATCCAAAACACAACATCAAAGATTAGTTGGGGAAATTAAACCATCTAACAATCATCAAGCTTGATATCCTTTTATTGTGAGTTGGAAAGCCTGTTCATGACCTCCCCGCTCACAAATTGTCAGGATTGCATGTTGCAGATACTGAGATATCTCAAGGAGCATACATGCATTAGAAGGTTAGAAGATATTCTAATGCTAGTCATGAAGGATACTCATATAGCAGCACATCAACCATAGGATATTGTGTCCACTTTGGTAGGAATCTCGTAATGTGGAAAAGTAAAAAAAACAAGTTGCGGGCTCTCTTTCTAGCATGTAGTTTGAGTGTAGTGCCATAGCACACAACTTTTAAGCTAACCCGGATACGTCAACTATGTCAAGAGTTGGGTGATACCTCCACTGGTTTAGTGGAAATGCTATCATAAGTTAGCTGCTGTCCATATCTCTAGAGACCAGATATTTTACAAACCCCAAGCACATTGACATATTACATATATTGTCATTTCGTCCGAGAAAAGGTGGTTGGCACTTTCCATGAATCAGCTTCTATTAAACTGGTCCAAGTACATTCAGAAGGTCAACTTGCAGACATCCTGACAAAGTCTCAACATGAATCATACATCAGCCCTAAGCATGACAAGTTGGACATGTTATATATGCTTCACTTGAGGAGTATCAGAAATAGGATATGATCTTTAAGTTAGCTTATAGTCATCTCTTGTACTTTATATAAGGAACATTTGATTATTGAATAAAATCTCCATTAGAAAACACTTCTTGCTTCTGATCAGAGACAAAGCAATATACGAAGTTGGAAAGTTTAGCATTCAGCTGGTATCTTGAGGAACATTCGTAACAAACCCACATAAATGTATCATCTTTCTTCAAACAAGTTGTAAGCAGTTTAATAGATCTATTTAACACTTCTCCAGCAACAATGCATTTTTTAACACTGGTGCGAGCAGTAGAACATCCTACAATATATTTCCCAGTTTTTGTCCCAGTATTAGGTAATATCAATTGTAAAGGTTGAATACTAACTAATGCTTCAGCTCAAGGTCCATGCTGCACAAATAAGGCGAGATAAAAGCCATCAATGACATTGAATAATATCACAAGATCTTACAATCCAATCAACTCCAAGTATTGCACAACACCAAGTGCATTGCTCCAAGAATTGCTAATCTTTCAGTTCACACTTATACAATAATTACAATTCAAAGCAGGAGATATGAACAGATTTATGCATTGTTGCTCTGTAGGCTCTTTATTTGAACATAAATAAAGATCTCAATTGCAAATGGTTTTCATTAACTTCTTTGTTAGACATAAAAAAGAAGCTTGTTGAACAGCCACTGTAAAACATGCTTATTAGGCCAACAAGGAAGCATAAACTCATTTTTCTGGTTATCACCTATATTGTTACAAAATTATTTCCAGTAACTTCCAACAATTTTCAATTAGACTTCAACATCAGATATGGATCTAACTACATGAATAACCTAAACGTAGAAAAGGAAAAATAAACCAAAAAGAACAAAAGGCAGAAATGAAGTGCATTCCAAGTAGAGGTAAAATGGGTATATACCTTTTCTTGACTTGCAGCACAACATATAGGATTGGGATCATTTCCTGTTAAATCTGTTGAAAAATCCATAAGAGAACCATTATCTGTTGTGGGATTACTTCCCTTGGCCGCTACTAAATCACATTTCTCCAGACCAGTTGACCTGTCTTGCATGCCAGTCCCATCCACAGTTTTTTTGTGTCTGGATCTACGACTGAATGTTATCAATGGGAAGCATGGTTTGTTGTCTTTTATTCTGTCTTCGCATGCGTTGCTGGATTTACCCTTTATGAGTGCAGCAACTGCTTCCAAAGCATGTTCGTTGTTGGCCTGTACACTTACATAATGTGAACTGCATCCACAGCATGAAGATGAATGTGAAACAATCTTTGGGTTGCTATCCACATTGGTTTTAACCATCTCAGAAGATAATTTCCCCTTGTCCTTTCTACTGTCAAATTCACAGCCAGACTTCTTATAAGAACATGAAGATGTATGGAGGTGACCAGCCCTATCCTTAGCAGATACACCAGTAGAAAGAGGCTTCTGTATAGAACTCTGTAAGCTGCTTTTATGAGAACTTTGCAACGTCATTGTATGAGGATCAACCTGTCGTTCATCGAATTCTACGATGAATGCCTTTTCGTTTCTACTACTTGATTCTTGAGCTTGCTGAGATAACAGATGATCTTGCCTTTCGACACAATTAGAACATAGCTGTTTTCCCTCGAGATGCTTCAGTGGACAAACAAAATTACGTTAATGAAGACGAAATATGTGATGAACTATGTTAATAAAGATGAATGATGTGATCATTAAGACATGATAAACTGAAGTATATCCATGCCCTTACAACAATAAAACTTACTTCATTGGGAGGAAGCTGACCACGAACATCATAAAAACAATGGCAGTATTCACACTGCACTATACTGCTGCCACCAGCAAATACAGCACACTGATTCAATATGTGCACAAAAGTTCAACAATTAGTTGAGAAGAAATTGGTAATAAGGACATGGTCAGATGGAATGCAAAGATGACTTGATTCTAAAAGCATCAATAACATAATTCAAGCTCCTATAGTTTTCAGATCAATCTGAGACCAACCAGGTTTACAGAAACAGTTATAATTCACAACACTAGAAACTCTTGCTTACCAAACAATCTATCTTCTAATTTTATATCCATTATCATTTTATTTGAACCCTGCCTATGTATTCTCATGTACACTATAGACTATACAAAGCCACAATAAACTAGGAGGATGTGTAAGGTGTTGCAAGCCAACATTAAAACTATCTAGTTCAGCAAACACCAAGTTTTTGAACAACAAAGACAAGAATATGCATGTACATGGGCAACCTTGAGAGAAAACCATTGGGGAGAGGCAGAATAAGTTAGCTGGAAATAAATCTGGAGAACAAAGAATGCGGAGATCACTTGACCAAAACCAAATGGCCCAAATCTCAACTGTCTCCTTTCAGGTTGGACCACTTGCTTAAATTTGGAAAAAAAAAATTGAAGATAGTCAACATTTAATAGGCTAAAATGAATTAACAGTAAACCTTATACCCCCATGCTAATGGTGTATGCTAAAGATGAGATTCATCTAAAATCAAATCATGATTGGGCGAAGGAAGCCAGAGCTCATCAACATGAACAGCATCTCTCCCTCTTCTCTGTTGAAAATGATTGGACTCGAAAAAAGGTGTGCCCAGCCGATACATATTTAAAAGACATTCTTCTCTCCTCCATATGGCCATTGGATTCTATACATGGTCTAATTTACCCACAACCTTTGGCCAGCAACCGCCCTAGCTTCTGCCAATATGGATCTCAGAAAAATATGTCACCGAATAAGAGTAGGGAATTGGAAGGAGGGGGGGGGGATGCTTGTTAACACAATTCAGCACTTAAGTCACTGTCTTATGGTCTGTCCTCTCTCTTCTCTTACATAATCCAAGACTTTGTTAATTTCTTTTGTGCCTGCTACCACGTACTTGGTCTCTGTCAAATGGTCTATCCTTCTCCACCTCCTCCATAATCCAAGAATTTGTTAACTTCATTTGTGTATGGTATCATGTACTATTCTCATCAATTAACACGATTTTATGATTTTATCCCTTATAGCACACAGCCAAACACAATGCCCATCATCATGTATACCTTTGTAAGCTCAACTAATACTAAGCCATAGAGAAGGGGGGCTACTGCCAGATCTTTCACATAGTCCTACCACCACCACCCCCCAAAAAAACTAGTTCTCACAAAAGCATTAGTCCTCTACCAAACATATCTTTAAATTGATCAACATATTACATAATATATCATTTTCCTTCCCAACAGCACCAGATGATTCTTTCTAGAAGTTTATGATGCATTTTGGGAAGATCAAAGAATATCATATTCAGGTCTTTCCTTTCCTATGCCCTTAATCAACTTTCTAATAAATATGTAGTAGTAATGTTCAAAAATGAAAGAAAAAATAATTGTTTCCTCATTTACAAGTCTTTCTAACAACTTTTTAATAAATAGTAGCATTAGCAATGGATCTACTGGAGATATCACCTATAAAGAAAATGAATAGCTAAGGTTTTAAAAAGCAGAATCGGGTCTCGAGGCATTTTTCCTCGGCGAGGTGAGGCGTATGCCTCGAGGCGATCTGAGGCAGAAAGATATATATAATACAATATATATATATATATACTAAATATATACAAAGTAGAAGACTGGAGAAGAAATAAAATATATTTATATATATATATATATAAATATACATTAAATACTCTTCAAAATGGAAAATTGGAGAAACAGGAAATAATATATATATATATATAGATATACGTGATGCTCTTCAAATTTGGAGACCGGCAACGACATTGGAGAAAACAAATGTAAACTACAAGCAACAAGAGAGTAGGAGAAGACGAGCAAGAGAATGGGCTTATTTTATAAAAAGTAAATTCAATGAGTCAATTTTTAAACCCTAATTTCTAACCCCGCCCCCTCCCCCCACCTCAGCACCGCCTCAGACTCGATTTTCCAGCGCCTCGCCTCAAGACGGACGTCTACGCTGTTTAAAACCATGAATAGGAAATGATAAGAGAGAAGTTGCAAGCAAAGCAAGTTTGAACAGTTCCTTATTCAATGTCACAGTGGTTATAACTTGTGACACAAGTTTGGTGCCAACTTGAAACCATTTTCTAAAAGCAAAAAAAAAATTGTAAGAAGTATAAATAAAAGTCAGATCACAATCAATTTTGAAGTGACGATCAAATTAGAAAATCATTAATTACTATTTTAACACCAAAAGGCACAAAAATTGACTTGGTATAAACCAAAGACATATGATTCTACAATTGACCAACCACAAAGCAATGAAAATTTGTCAAAAAATTGTCAATTATAGAAAGTGACCATCACATAGTAAAATCTTTAATATACTCTGTTTAGTATTAAAGCAAACGAAGTAGGTAAAGCCTAGAAAAGTACCAACTGAAGAACCACCATAATTAGAGAGAAATTGGTAAAAGCTCTTACCAACGAATTGATGATAGGCACAATGAAAAGTTGCTAAAAGGAGACGTGTGAGCTTTTGTTGATCTAAGAGGAAGTAGAGAACAGGCTAAAAACTTATTATTCAGAAAAAAAAATGTTAAGGTCTCACTCGTTGAGAAGAAAAAAATGTTTGACTTAGCAATTAGCTCTTGTTCTTTGGTTAACTTTTCGGTTGTAATGTAGTTGAATGGATTCAACTGAAAGGATTTATGAGCTCATTGTATAGAAGTCCAACAGTTTAGATTTTACTCCATCAAGTAGGCCCAAACTTTGAAGTTGTGCCATTGTGTCATGAGAAGGCACCATGCCAAAGTTCGTCACACCATGCCAAAGTTCATCACACCATGCACCTGGCACCTTGCACCATGCTAAATTTCATCATGCTTTTGCAGCATTGGTCGATGGTAAGGGCCATTTTCCCCTATTGTGCCGTCCTACGTGGCAAGGCATCTTCAAAATGCGCGCCACACCTTTCCATCAGTACATGGCTATACTAGCATACTACTACCATAAGAAAAATGGGGACTTCACAGTCACGATATATGATTTCAATGTTTCATAACCATGGGAGTGATTATTTCAGAAGACACCTAATTACAAGTTGTTATGCGCCTTTGGATCCCACAGCCTCTATAGTTTCATGTCATCTCTTTTAATCACCAAGGAACACGGAAAAAAGTAGAAAACTACAAAGACGCTACAATTGTTGAACGGCTAAAAACTTTCAAAATGGACATGCATGACTATGCATACACCCCCTAGTATTCTAGAAACAATATACATATGCATATACACACTTCACGTAAAGCAATGACTATAAATGTAGATAAGAGACAAGAAACAGATGCCTTTGAAGCCAACCACCCAATTATGCTCTTGGGTGACCGTCACTCCTTTCCTTGTTTAGCTTTTAGTGTGGATGTTTGTTGCTTGAATCAAGTTGGCAATAATTATGCCTAATAAGTAGCGACTTCCAAGTTTATTTATTGAGGATGACAAAAACATAGGCTACAGGAAAAGAAAGCCCTTTCAGAAGTCTAGACTGCTAGATCAACTTTCGAGTGAACATGACCCCCCCCCCCCTCACACACACCCCCCAACAGACCCGATGACAAGGTGCACGTTCCAGCAAGAAATAAAGAATTTAATATATGAACGCACCTTTGTTTCTCTTGTTTCTTGGTTACAAGGTAAAAATATTTATGTCTATTATCCTTGAAAGGTGTTCCATTGTTGTCTCGTTCTGGCACGTAAGCTGTTAGACTCAGCAGGAGGGCTATGAATCCTCGAAAAGTAAAATGACTGTATGTTGCAATATCTTTGGATGAATCCTACTATAATACTGTTTCAGCCTCTTCTAGAAGCTATGGTTTGTCGTTGTCAACTTTCTTGATTGTTTGCTTTATCTTTACTGGGTACATCAGCATATGACATTTCAGGTAATCGGGTTACAAGTTTATGTATATGACTATATTCTGGGTTCCAATTTCCCATATGCGATGAAACTGGAGACCTTTGAAATGAAGTATTTTCGTTTTTCCCTCTTGTACTTGCAGACTGATGATATTACCTTGTGTGTTACGTAGAGTTGAGGCCTACCTTAAAGTCCATGCCAAACCCCCAACATACAGCTGATCCCGGAAGAGCAGAGACCACCATGGTGTTCCAGCTTTCTACTTCACTTGGTGCTAACAGCACCACCTCCCCCAACCCATGAAGGAGAGAGCATTGCCCTGAGCTAATGTCTTGGGCTACTCATTTCATGGTTTTGGTACAATCACTACCATACCATAATTATTAGAACATCCATGCACAGGCAAGAAAGCCATCACCTCAAGCAGTCACATGCTATTGACATGTTGTACTAAATCATTTTTCCTTAGGCATACACGCACAAGAAAATCACATGGATCTTCTCTCTTCCAGAAAAATAACTCTACGAAGTTAAAATAAACTTCAAATTAGCATGCCTAACTGGTTTGCATTCTACTCTATACACAATACAATTAATTGATTACATCTCAGAAAAAACAACCGACAAGAAAGCAAGGCACATAAAGAGATAATGATCATGTAACATCAATATCATTGAGGCACATAAGTGTAACATTATATGGATTGCCATTTAGCAACAGTGAGATAAAAATCAAGTTGTTCCTCATCAGACAAATATTAGAGTCCTAAACCATATATCAGCAAACATGCAATAGTGGTAACTTGAACTCAATAAAAGAATTACCTCAGACTCTTTTCTGTCAGATTCATGTTTTAAATCTTCTTCTTCCTTGACTGGTGTTTTCAGTACCTCTAAAGTTTGGTATCCAGGAGCATGACTAGGGCACTCATTTGCAAACCCTAAATCAGGTCTTGAAGAGAGCCGCTTCCTCTTGTATGTTAAGACAACTTTACTACCAATCATTGAAGCTCTTGGAAGTTGCTATTTTAGAAGGCTATCAAGAGGAACAATATGTTAAAAAATGATCTTAATGAAGCATTATGCTGATGAACTCATAAATGCTTCATGCCATAACTGCAAGAAACGCGTTCCTTAAATACAAAAAAGAAAAAAAAATAGTGCTGAACAATCTGATACAATGACAGTGCGCTACATGTGAATTTCCGGCAAAGTAAACTTAAGATAAAATGTAGATGGACTTGAGAAAATAATAGATGCAGTGTTTCTGGTCTTCTTACCAAAAGGGAAAACAAAAATAGTATATAGTCATGGCTTACAAGTTATGCATAATAACAAGATCTGCTTCTTTATTTACAGCAATACCTATCACAATCCTATATTTATATAAACATGAACATCATAACTTAAAGCTCATGTCTCCATTTCTTTAGAATTTTCACTTGTTCATTTGACTACCTAAACAAATACAAAATTCACTCTTCTACTACTTAAGATTTCCCTAACTCCCACATCCTCCTGGTTAACCACCCTACATTTCACCTGCCCCATTGTACCCTACTATCTCGGAGTCTGGGACTAGCTTCATTGCGCTCAACATCCGTCCAGTAAAGTAACAACAGGTTAGTGGAATGAGGGATCAAGAGACAGATAGGGGGAGAATGGCAATCATTGGTGGACCTTCCCCTAAACAAGTCAAGGAGCTCCCAGCATGTTAGCTCATGGAGTCAAGGCATGCCTTAAGAGAAAAACTGACTTTCAGGTGTTAAATCGGTTTGCTCAGTTCTCACCACTCCAAACACACATGTGGCACATGCACATCACTAAGGGAAAAATTACAATGCCTTGCTTACTTCTATTAAAGCATCAGTGTCCCACGTCTATATGACCTTGGTTCCCATGTGAAGTATCACTAAGAGGCCAAAACTAGGCACTCATTCACCAATACAAATGTGTCACATCCATTACAGTAGATGGCTACACCCTACGAAGTTTGTTTGGTTTCATCTTCACTACAATAGTAGGATACAATGCCTAGCAATGCTTGGTACACTACATTTACTCATTTTCATTAGAATAGTTGGATAGAATGCCCTACCAATGCTTGGCATGCTGTCTTTATTTACCCAACCTAGGACAGGGTATATAGGAACTGAAGACGTAACTGATACAAAATTAAAAAGATCAAAATGCAATGATATTATGATAGGAAACCAAGATACCTATGTGCCACAACCAACCCACAGTACTTGTTAAGCACAAAATATTCGAATATGAAGCCTGTGTTGTGTGTACAACTGTAGATAAAAATTTGTGCACATTTATTATCGTCTAAACTTTAAACCTTGTAACTAATATTTTTATGGAGCATTGTCTCTCTTACCTATTTCAAGAAAGACTCGAACTTTTTTACCATATCCTTCAAGATAACCATCAGTGTGGAAACAAATTACAAGTAACTCATTTTGAAAGTATATAATATTTATATAGGGCAACATAAACTCACAACACTTCTCACCTTTTGTGAGACTTGAACCCCTAACCTCTAGAAAGGAGGGGAAGTGGTCACTGGTTACCGCTAGGCCGATGGCCCTTTGGTGCAAATAACTCATTTTATTGGCAATTCAAACCATTCTTTTGCAATAACAACAGCTAAAACCCCTAAAGAACACATCAATTAAGAGTCCTCTGTAAAACAAATCATATTAGCAAAACAAGAACCGAACACTAGTCTAAAAGGGCTAACAAAAAAATACAAGAAACCTGAGCAAAAAGCCTCATTTCTTCTCGTTCAAAAATTCCTAAATGATTAAATCCACCATATCCCCCCCCCCCCCCCTAAAAGCCTCATTACTCTTTCATTCGTCAAACCTAGTCTTTTCAGATTAAAATACTGATATAGGTTTTCGTTGCCTTCGACATCAACAACCATTCCATGTACATAGTCTTTCACAAAAAAAAAGTTCAAAAAATGCGTAGCAAGCCGATAAGTAACCTCCGGGACTTTTCAGAAAAACAAACTGCAGCTTTCAGAAAATTACAAAAAACAAAGTTCGTCCATTTCTCTTCATCCTCGTCAGGTTCTTACCTATCAATGCTAACAAATTAAGCAGAATTCGCAAACTACAAACAATCGGGCTCAACTCCCAAGGCCTCATACTCATGCATACATACATATACATAATCCATAGCCAAAAATATCAAAAACAATGAAAGAATTACACAAATATAAAGCTCAAAACTCACCAAATTTTTTCCAAACTGAACATGAATGTAACTTACGGAAAGCAATTGAAGATAGAGAAACTAGACTTGAAAAAGCTTTGGAACTCTCTCTCTGGAACGTTGGTGGAAGAGTGTGTGTGTGTTTTTTTTCTCTCTCACACACCTCTTTCACTCTTTTTTTTCTGTGAGGGTGGGATGAAGGGGTGGGCCCCTCCGCCTACGAATTGAATTCCATCGCATCTGTGGCACGTGACAGTGTAGGCGTGTGAAGATGTGCGTGTAGCAGACGTGGATGGGGGTGCGCGTGGGTGATGGAAGGAGCTGACTGCTGTCTTAAAAACAAATAACAGCTATTGCATCAACTAGTCATGGCTTAGATTTCGTAAATCTAAATAAAACATTCAAAAATTGGTATGTCTTCTTAAATAATCAATCTTTATGTAAATGATTACATATTTATGTAACGAACGGATTATGTAAAGAACATACGATATTTGTATAAATTTTGTCTAAAATGAGAATTGAAAAAATGATATTGGTACGAGAGATTGGTTATTTTAATTATAGTTTGGTAAAAATAAGCTAACTTATAAGTTAGTTTATTTTTTGAATACATGTTTGTACTGAAACGTTACATTAGATAACTTTTTAGTAGCCTATTGTCATTTTTTATAATTCACATTAATATTAATTATTACTAATCATATATAAATATTTGTAAAATTTAAATATTACTACTATTAATTCTTAATAAATATTATTTAATATAAATTGAAGATTAATTTTAATTATACATTACTAGTTATTACCCGTGCAATGCGGCGGGATGTGAAATTTTGAAAAGATGTATGCGAACATATCGATTACGGATAAAGATACGTATTTAAAATTGTCAGGCCTTACACTATTGATTTATGTTTGCCTTTCCATGACTGCTTCTGTTATTATAAAAAAGCAAAGGTTCATTAGGTCTGTCATCTATACCAACTTGGCAAAACAGTGAAAGATGAATCAACAAATGGTAAGCATCACATTTGGGTCTCACATTTGGGTCGGCAAAAACCAAGTTTATTAAGTATAGAATAATAAAGATGGGATTATACGTCTGCAACAAAATAAACTGAAAGAAGGGATACCAAACAAAAGCGAGAAGAATAATTATGATTTAATACGTTGGTGAAACATATAAGTCAACAGTACTATGGTCCAAATCCATACAACTATCCCGAAAGGCCAACTTCTAATTATATAGGCATACGTAAACTTCGCATAACTATGACTATGTTCCTCCGGTTGAAGAAAATCAAGACATGTGAATTCATTCTTATTTGGTATGTAAACTTACTATTTATCTTATAGTTCACGAAAACATCTAGAACAGGTCTTTATTCATCTTTTCCTCTCCAGCTTCTAGTCTCTTTGATAACAAGTTGAATATTATTTCATCTGAAACTAATTTCACTTGATTCACTATCTCAGCAAGCAAAAAAACATATATATAGAAATAAATTGGAAGGGTAGAAAGAATCAAGGAAGTGATCACTATTCAGTCATAGCATTCTTACAAAGATAAATCACACTTAACAACTTCAATAAAGATAAACCACCTTTCAACAACGGTTACATGAAAAGAGTAGTGTCAAGCATGTTTATAGTGTGAGAAACACTAACATGACTCCTATATAACATCCAGAATGGTACTGACAATTGGTTGTACACCAGAGTATTATAACACAAGTAGTTTGGTAATTTGACAACTATCACATATCTGTGATTTATATCCACCAATCTTGGTGGGAGAAAGAAAATGCATTTTGTCCTAGTATGACGTCGTACCAAATATGGGACAAGAAGTTTTTTTATTATCATGTTCGTTCAAAACACACCCTTACTATATATTGGTGGTAAATGCAGCCAGATATATAAACTAAAAACCATTTCCATAAATACTGGTGGTAAACCCTCGAATTGATAAACTTCGCAATTATATGGCAATTATCAAAAAAATTAGGAATGTGCCCTTTGTTTTCTTGTGAGATTATCGATGAAATAGTCAAAATTTAACGTAATTATCTTTTAAAATCTTTCAAGTCTTCTTCAACTCTCACCTTCTTCATCCATCACCAAAGGAATTTCTAGGATTTCATTTTGTTTATTATTGAAACTTTGAAAAAAAATCATTAAGAAATAAAAGAAAGTAAATAGAAGAGCAAATCAAGAGTTGGAGGTTAAATTTGGGTATATAAAATTACAAAAAAAAAACGGGTTAATAATGAACTACACATTTTTCATATAGGGATGAAAAAATCTTTAACATATTCAATATTTAAAAAAATAAAAAGTTGAGAAAAAAAATGGAAGAGATTCTAAGCATTAGGAGGTGTCACCTCATTCTTATTGTGTTTTCCTTAATATATATATATATATATATATATATAACCCTAATAAATAAGTAACTTTTAGGACACGTGGCCCTTTCCTGTGCCGGAACTGGGTTTTCCCGCCTAAACATGAATGTGGACACAATTTTCATCTTCGGTACAAATAGATCTGTGAATGTGACACGTGCCAAGGTTGACGGTTACCATACATGCTCCTCTTTAAACCGCTAGTGCAGAGTAATTGTCACACCTCGCTAAAGCGGAAACACGAGATGTAACAGGTAAGCGAGTCACAGCAACCGTTAATAAATAACACCTTTCAAATTTTACAATATAAAACAATGTTGGGACTTCCACCTCATCGTTCCCTCGAGCCGGTCAAATCCGCGATTCTTAAAGCCAACGCTCCTGTAGCAATGCAGGAGCATCCCACATCGGTGAGGCTAGGGGGATTCGTCTTCCTTATAAGGAAGGGAGGATCTTACTCCTACCAATGACGCATTTTAAAGCCGTGAGGGGCAGCCCAAAGCGGACAATATCATGTGGGCGGTTCCCTAGTATCGGTCCAACAAACAAGTTTAACATCATAACCAAATTTTGATAAATACATCTTTTACAAAAACTTCAAATGCGAACTTAGTCGGTCTTGTCAAAAGTATGCTCCCAAAATACATTTCTTACTTGAAAAGCATGGAACATAAAACGAGTCAACTACAAAGAGTTGGTGAGTTCATGGGTTTTCACATGCATAAAACATTATAATGCATAAACCATTTATTTGCAAACTTATACGTAAAGTTTTTGCACTGAATAAATGTAAATCTACCACGATGTATAAACTTGAGACGCTACTGAGCCTTACCTGACCAACGTGCCCCATTATTTTACAAACGACCATAAGTAGCCCGTACACTTACTTAGGTCCCACAGTTCGTAGTAGTAGTAGTACTAATTCAGCGGTGGTCCAAATTCCACATGATTAGACCAAGAAAACATAGGTAATGTGCACCCCTTTCTGGGTGGGACTGTCAACACAATAGCGGCTATCCACAATACCACGACCCGGGGACGTGCCCG